AAGTCAAGCTTAGATCATAAAAAAAACTGGAAAGCTCTGAAGGATGGCCCCATTAGAACAAAAAACAGGCAATACAGACTCTGCCCTACACATCTAGAAACTTCAGGAAAACAAAATTATCCACAAAGTGATTAGTCGTAAGATTTTTCTTTTTTGCTGTCTTTTCGGCCTATCAGGACCATTCTCCCTTTCTGTATGAATGACAGAGGAACAGGGATCTCAGAGCACTTACAGAGCTATACAGAGCAATACTCTGGTAGATAAGATCATTCCTGGGAGGGAAGGAATGCTGCTTGCAGCACCGGAGGCTGAGCAGAGATGACAGCCATATGCCACTTGGCAGAAGTCAGGGGGTTGTTTGTTGCTTTTTTTCAGGATCCCAATTCTAATGAATTATAAAATACAGCCTAAATTAATAGTCAAGAGGACTTTATCAGGGCCCCACGCTTAGGAGACGCTCATCTGGGAGAATCTCTTTCAACTCCGAGACTGTTTGACTTGATCAAAGGTTCTTGCTTTTCAATTGACTTCTGTACAATCCTCAGACTCAAGAGCTTCATGAAACAAGAGCCAGGCTGCTTTCCCAGAGACAATCCGAATCCCAGTGAGATGTCAGTCTCATCTTAAAGGCCAACTGCTTGGAAAGCAGGAACTTCTGAATATTAATGCCCTCCTACAACAATGAATGATGGGACTGCCAGTCCGTGCTCTTTAGCAAACTTGGTACCGACCAGGTTGATATTTGAGAGGTCTTTATCTGCAGCAGAATGTACTTATTTGATGTTTAATGACATCAGAACAATCACACAAGTGCGTTATCTCTGCTGGGGGTAAAAGGGATGAAATGGTGTTATCCTAACTTCTGGAAAAAAAAGATAAAACAGACAAAGCTTTTCTAGTTTGCAGTAAGAGTTGTGCTCAAGAAGTCCAGCATTCACTGGCTATGTGATGTACTGGATTCAGCCAAAAGACTGTGCTGAATTTCACGAGTAAGAAATCTTTCTAATTTATGCATTTAGTAAAAAACTTCTCTTTGACAGACCAAGTCCTGCACTCCCATGAGGCTGCCTCAATAAAACTCACTGTGTGCACAGGGAAGGAAGGAAAATACTGCAGGTCAGAGAGGTAACTCACTTTCACTGTCTTTACATAAAACCACATTTCCCACAGGCAGCCAAAAACAGGGAGGAGATACAAAAATCAAGGCAAAGAAACAATCCCATCTTAAAGATCTTTTGCTCAGATTTGAAAGGGGAGATAAACATCCCATCTCTGCCTTAGAGAACTAAGAAATTTGACACTGGGACCTTGTGGCTTGAATTCTCCTCAAATCAATAGAAAGGTGGTGGAGATGGGATGAGCTTTGCAAAGTTCCTGAAGAGAGATCAGAAACACAGGATCAGTCAGGTTGGAAAAGACCTCAGAGATCATCGAGACCAATTTTTGACCCATCCCCATCTTGTCCCCCAGCCCAGAGCACTGAGTGCCACATCCAGTCATTCCCTGGACACCTCCAGGGGTGGGGACTCCACCACCTCCCTGAGCAGCCCCTTCCAATGCCTGACAAGCTTTCCATGAAGAAATTCCTCCTTATGTCCAACCTGAACCTCCCCTGGCACTGAAGCATTAAGGAACCATAAAAATGCACAGGCAAAGCAACCTGTCCAAGGCTGTGTTGTACAAAGTCTTCCAAGAACACTCCCATCATCTTGGGGGGGGTAAAGTGATGCTCTCAGTTTTGGCAAATTATTACAGAAGAACCACTTGGAAATTCTATCATCCCAAGCTCAGTTAAAGTTTAGGAATGTTTCCACCAAGAGGCCTGAGATAGTTGTGAGTGACATGAGTATCTCCACAGCTTGGTGTCACGCAGAGATGGGAGCTCTCATCCCAGAGGGAATGCAGAGGTGGGAGCTCACATCCCAGAGGGAATGCAGAGGTGGGAGCTCACATCCCAGAGGGAATGCAGAGGTGGGAGCTCACATCCCAGAGGGAATGCAGAGGTGGGAGCTCACATCCCAGAGGGAATACAGCCACATTAGCATGGCCCCATGCCTGGGATAATTAGGTGATGTTTCCCCAGCTACCAGGAATCAAAGAGTGAATCACACACCCACCAGCACCCAACTTCTGACAGCACAGACTGGGACTAATTTGAACCTCAGTTACTGAGAGTGCAAGGGGAATATAAAGATGCCATGTCACCATTTTACTGTGGTTTAAAGGCAGAAGGAACCATAAAATCATCTGGTGAACTGATTTAACCTGTTATCACAACGACTACACTTCATCCACACACCCCTGTGTCCAGGTAATGAACTTCAGTCAGCCCAAAGCCCTGAACTCCTTTTAGAGTGTGACCAATTCCATGTGGGCCACAGGCTGAGCCCAACCACACCCTGCCAAAGTCAAGGCCACAGATATGGCAGGTGACTGCTTAGGGGGTGGTTGACCAAATTATTCCAGCAGAAATCCATTCCTATACTGCCCTGGAAGATGAAGAATCTCATATTCCTGCCCATCAGCTCCCAGCTCTGGCAATCAGGATGAATCCAAACAAGTGAGCAAGACACGTGGACCAATTATGTCAAAACAGGAATCTCTGCTGTATCAAAACAACCAGTCCATAGAATGACAGAATCCCAGAATGGGATTCCAACCCAAAGTTGGATGGGACCTTAAAACTACCCCATTCCAACCCCCTGCCATGGGCAGGGACAGCTTCCACTATCCCACGTGGCTCCAAGCCCCATCCAACCTGGACTTGGACACTTCCAGGGATCCAGGGGCAGCCACAGCTTCTCTGGGCAACCTGTGCCAGGGCCTCACCACCTTCCCAGCCAAGAACTCCTTCCCAATATCCCATCTAAACTTGTCTTCTGTCAGTTTGAAGCCATTCCCTCTTTTTCTGTCTCTCCAGGCCCTTGTAAATAGTCTCTCTCCCTCTTTCTTGTAGGCTCCCTTCAGGTACTGGAAGACCTCAATTATGTCACCCCAAACCTTTCCCTTTTCCAGGCTGAAATAAAGAAGTCACCCTCTGGTGATGGCCAATTTCTGATAATCCAAAGAAAAAAAAAGAAAAAAAGACCTAAAAACAAGGGAGAAAACCTCCTTCCTGACCCCTCAGGAAGGTCCAAGAGTATGAAGTGAGGATGGTTCATGTTGAATCGGAGAATCCTAGACTGGTTTGGAAGGGACCTTAAAGACCAGTTCCAACCCCCTTCCCTGGTGGGTCTGTCTTAATGCAGAGCTGCAAGTATTTCAGGGACGTGCAGACAAATGTCCCTGAGCCACCTACAAGGGAAGGGGTTGGGAAGGGAGGCTCATCAATCACCAGCGTGGGCCACCGCCCTTGACAGACACCGAATTTCTTCTCCTGACTCGAACCAAGCACCTCTTTTAAAATGATAAATTATCTCATCTCAGAGATTCGAAATGACAGTGATGGAAAAAGACTCCAATGTTTAATTACACTGGGAGATGTGAAGCTGTTTTATTCCAAGGTGGAACTGTTCAAACTTCAGCTTCCAGCTACTGGAGCTTGTCCTGGTTTATCAGGGGTCAGGTTGGCAGCTCACTGTGAGGTCTCTGCAAGGATTATTTGATTATGGTGTTCATAGACTCAGGGAATGTCCTGAGTGAGAAGGGACCCACAAGGATCACCCAGTCCAACTCCTGGCCCTGCCCAGGACAGCCCAACAATCCCACTCTGTCCCTGAGAGCATTATCCAAACATTCCCTGAGCTCTGTAAGCCTTGGGGCTGTGCCCACTGCCCTGGGGAACCTGTTCAGTGCCCAACCACCCTCTGGGGGAAGAACCTTCTCCTGATATCCAACCTGAACCTCTCCTGACACAGTGCTGTGTCTCTTCCACGAGTAGAACATGTTTATTCCAACCACCAGGCTGGTTTTCTGGGCTCCAGATCTTTTTTCTGTCCCTCTCCAAATCCCAAGCAGTATTTCCATACGATCCCTGGGATGGCAACTCAGGAACTGCACAAAATGTTCTGATTTTACTGACCCTGCACACAGAAAACAGCTTTAACACTCCTGACTAAGGCCCTTTTCATATTCAAAAAAGAGTTTCAACAACCACTTTTGTCTCTGCATTGTGCTCTGGGCTCACTGGAAGACACTTATCCACAACAATCCCTGAATCCCTCTTACAGTTACTCTTTCCCAGGAATGGCATCACATTTTGAAGGTAGCAACTGCATTTTTTTTTTTTTCTTATTCCCAGATGTAGTAACAAGTGGCATCATTATGAGAGCTGTTAAAATAGTGCAGTGTTTCTGGGAAATGGTGGAAAGGATGATGTTTATTGGAGCTACATAAACGTGCAAAATGTTTTCTCAACACAGTTTCCCATTTCTGTTTGCACAGATGTGGGAAATGTCACCACAAAGCCCTTTCCAGGAAAGATAAATTAAATTAAAAGGTTTGAATCAGGCAAATAGATGGAATGATCCACTGATGCCTCCACACACTGTCTCTTACCTCTTTTTTGCTCCCTTTTTCTAATCATAAAGTATATTCAGTATCGTTGAAAAATGGAAAACCCCAACATTTTTATGATTGGTTGAAATGAAATGAAATAAAATTAAATGAAATTAAATTAACTGAAATAAAACAAAATGAAATAAAATAAAACAAAATAATAGAAGTGTTGAATCTGCAAAGAAATACACGTTAATTTAAGGGACAAAAGACATTACAGCATAAATTGTCATAATCAAAGTTGAAAAGAATTTTCCATTGTCTCCTGAGCCACTCTGTGGGAATTTTCCCAGCCCAGCCAGCTGGAAGGGAGGAGGGGCATTGTGAGGTTCTGTGCTCTCATTCTCTCTCTCTCCCTCTCTTTCTCTGTCAATAAATGTCTGCAATCATATTCTTGAGCTCCAGTGTGATTTCAAGGTTCATCTCTTCCATGCAGCTCAAACACTAATTATCCCAGCTGTAATTAGTAAGATAATTAAATACTGGCTCACTCATCACTCTACCTTGTGTCGGGTCATGATTCTCCCAGAAGACCTTGAGCAGTTGCTCAAAGCTGATGTTCTCTGGCTGATAAACCACTCGAACAGCCTCGGTGTGACCAGTCCTGCCTTCAGAGACACAAGAAAATCAGGGGAGAATTAACCAGGGCATATTTAGGCTTTTCTACCTGAGAGACAAAGCAAAATGCTTTGCTAGTATTCCTAAAATTATTCTGATTTATTAAGCTTTTTTCCACATTACTTTATATACACATCTGCTCGTTCAAGCAAGGCCTTCATGAATAAACCACCCAGAGAGGCAACAAGATAAGAGAGAGAGGATTTTACAGCAGTTAAAGGAGAAACAAAATTAATAGTTTTTACATATTTGTAACCAAAAATCAGTAAAATATTTTAAATATTCTAAATGCAGCATTAAAAGTATAAAATTGGGCTTTTTTTCCTGTGGGGACCTTGAGCAGTTGCTCAAAGCTGATGTTCTCTGGCTGATAAACCACTCGAACAGCCTCGGTGTGACCAGTCCTGCCTTCAGAGACACAAGAAAATCAGGGGAGAATTAACCAGGGCATATTTAGGTTTTTCTACCTGAGAGCCAAAGCAAAATGCTTTGCTAGTTTCCTAAAATTATGCTGGTTTACCACCATTTATTAAGCTTTTTTCCCCACACTATTTTACACTTGTTCAGGCAAGGCCTTCATGAATAAACCACCCAGAGAGGCAACAAGATAAGACAGAGATGATTTTACAGCAGTTAAAGGAGAAAAAATTAATAGTTTTTACACATCTGTAACCAAAAATCAGTAAAATATTTTAAATATTCTAAATAGAGCATTAAAATATGAAAACGTGTGTGTCTAAGTTGTCTTGAAATTCCAAAACTGGGTTTGTTTCTGTGGGGATATGGATAAAATAACTGACAATAAAATAATCATAATTACTATACAACAGCAATAATATTGATTATAAAAGCACATTTCGAGGCGTGTTTACACAAGATCACACAAATAATTTCAAGTTAATTCACAACATCCAAAGCACTGATGACAACAGAGCCAAAAGAGTTAGAGTCTGAACTTCAAACTTTGTTGCTGCAGATGATGTACAAGGAAGATTAGCAGGTGTCACAGCACATAAAAAATATTATTCCTATTTTTCAGTTACATTGTGAACAGAATTTTTTCATTTCTTACTTTATCACTCACAATATTATTGAAAAATCCGCCTTTAGAAAATATAAAGGCTACATAATTCACTTTTAATTAATAGTTAGATTGATGAGTTTAGACCTCTCAGGGTGAAAGTCCTTTTTACTGAGCACTACACAAGCATTTTTTATTTTATATATATTATATATTTTATAATTTTAAGAATTGGGCATATTTGTTGTCATTATATATTCATGAATGGGGAAAAAAAATCTTATTCTTCCCTGAAATCATAATAAGTGAACACTAAAATAAATAAGCTGGACAGCCACATCTGCCTTTTGGTGGGGATACAATAAGCTCTTTGATCACACCAGGGAGGCTTTTATTTCATTTATACCAACAGAAACTCCAGATTTACTCCACTGACTTCAACAGAATTGTTGGATTTCATGCAGGGCAGCAATCAGGTGATTCTGGCCCTGTGATGGGTCCTGAATGAGCTGTCACCAAACAACAAAACCCAGAGTCTGTGAGTAAACTGAGGAGGCTTCAGTAGAAACACCAATTCAGTACCAAGGGAAATGTGAATTAAATTTAAAAATAAAATAAAATTTGAAAGAAATATAAAGGATGTTTGGATACATTAAAGAGACATGATGGGGAAAAGTGTGACAGCATTTTAGCAGTTAATGGGGCACCTGAAATGAAGAAAACTTAAATGAGGCACAGAGAGCTGGTCTAGCTCATAAAAAAGGTTTAAAACTGGGATTAAATTTAGTCTGGAACGCAGAGGACTAAAAGAAGGCACATCTGGGGTACCTGTAATCTAGATTTTGATAAAACCAAACTGCTTCCTCTCTCATGTACACTTCACAGTATAACCAAGATCAGCTTCCTGAGATTAAAAGAGAGCATCAAATTCCATGTGAATCCATGTCATCCCATCCTCCAGGCACTGTCCAGGCACAGGGTGACCCAATTCCCTCTTTCCCACCCTGCCTTCTGCAGTGCAGGGAAGCAGCTCGTTACCTGGAGTCAAACCCTGCTGGTAGGGAGCAGGGAGCATCAGACATTTAAACAGAATAAAAATACAAGTCAGAGATAATTGGCTTAATAATAAAATGAAATGGTCTTTCATATCGTGGCGAGAACTGACCTTAGGTCAGGGATGGAATTTATTCCAGATCTCCTGGTTTAATGTGGGTTATCAGTGAAAACAATGAATTTTGCCATAGTTGAAGCCCAGGTTGGGACTTTTTTTTGTTGCTGGATCTAAAGCAGGAGAGCAAACAGCCAGTGGTGCGTCCAGATCTTGCAAACCAACATTGTGCAGCTAAAAAGAGATTCAGGAGTGACTTCTGACTTCAATATTTTTGTTTCTATTTTTATTTTTTGTAAGCCTGTGCAAGGTTCCTACCGCTCAGGAGCAGATTGCTTGTCTCAGATGAACAGCTTTGGATCACAGGAGAGTTTCCTAAAGAACTTCAAAACAACAGAGGCATGACCTTCCCTCTCGACAGGAGCAGCAATTACACCTTGTCAACACCGTCTGCTCTGACTAATCCAGAAGTTCAAAGAATCAGCTTTTTTTTTTCCCTCAGAATAAGGAAATAATGGTGTTACTCTGAGGACTACAACCTGACCTTGAGAAAAAAAAAATCCTCAGATATGCTGGACCAGACTGTTAGAACTTATTTGAAATCAATATTCATCCTCAGAGGAACAGGAAGGAAATAACGCTGGGCTTCACCCCTAATTTTCCTCTAAGCCTTCCCACAATCTGGTGGATTTTCTTTCAGAACAAGCTGTGGTTATTTGCAGTGAGAACAATCTTGGTCCTTGGTGGGGGAAGGACTTCTACTTCCCAGCAATTTTAGTGGGAACTAAACCAATCAGCTGGGTACACACGAGGAAAGAGAAGGGAAAAAAACTCCTTGTGGGATAGATTTACCACAACATTTCCTAGAAGAAGGACACAGAGAAAATGGCATGAGGGGACAGGAAAGGGAAAAGAGCAATTTCCCACAGGTGCAACACAAGCCACAAGAAGGAGTCAGAAGTTACTATGAGGTTACCCCAAGGAAACAACCACTCACAACCTGGGATAGTGGAAGGTGTCCCTGCCCGTGGCAGGAGGTGGAACTGGATGAGCTTTAAGGTCCCTTCCAACCAAACCATTCTGTGATTCTCTGGTTAGTTCTGAATATCACTCCTCTGCAGGCCAAGTGGCAAAAAGGAACTTAAGTTATGCTGTGTTGGTCTTCTCAATTCACTTTTTAGACTTGTAGTTTGACTATGAGAACAGATTCATCCCGTTTCAGTTTGGGTTTCCTGCTTTTGTCACACTACAGAGCCAAAAAAAAACCACGGCATCAACACAGCTCTGTGCTGTAAAATAAAAAAAAAAACAACCCACACTGAGATATTTCTAATTGAACCTTTTATGTAAGAGTTCATAAAACAGAGAGGAAGTAATCAAAGTGAAACAATAACTCCAAAAAGCTTCATGTCTTTAACAAGAAATCGAGCTGAAGAGCTGAAAGGAGTTAAAATGGTCAGTGATTGATGGAATTCTCTCAGTGACATTCAGCTCTTCACCTCAGTGCCTCCTTCAGAATTCCTCATGAAACATCCATTTATTTTGTCAGTCAGTGTCCTCAGCTCACCTCCTGCTTTTAATTAGCTGATCTTTAATATTCCACAGCCAAAGTTTTACCGACTATGAACATTTCCAGAAGCCCTCTCTCCAAAAACCCTCGATGTTCGAATGGTTTTAAATAATTCATCAAACCACCAAATATAATTTCATTTGCTGCTAATTGTGCAAATAGAAACCCTTTATTTTTAGGGGCCATTATGGTATTTCCAGTTCTGGTTCTCCTTCAGCCCTAAAAGGGGTTCAGCCATCGAAGAACCTCCCTGCACACAGGAAGACTTTATTACACCGAGGGCTCTGTGCCAAGAGCAGATTGTCTGTTTATCCTGTATCCATTTCCCACTTAGAAAACATCACCTCTCTCAGAGGATTAGAGACAGAGAGCTCCTTCAGCAGGGATTCAAACCCTGGCAAAAATGTCCCTGTAAAGAGCAATAGAAAAAGACATCTGAGTGACACCTCGGCGCTGCTTTTCCATCCTTTCCCTTCCTAATAGCATTTAGATTCTCACCTCCTTAATCATGTCCCAGGTGAGTGCCCAAGCTGAGGGATTAAAGAACTCATTCTTTTTAACTGGCTGTATCCAGTGAGCATTTAATTATTTCCAGCAAAGTGGAACAACTTCAAAGGGCTGGAGAGCTCCTCACCTGTGAGCTCCGAGCCACCGGCACTGATGGCACAGGGGCTTCATCTCCAGCTGGTCCTGCCTCAGGTGAATTCAATTCTACAGTTCAGGCACCACCAAAACTACTCCTTCCTGCCTCACACCAATAAAAAGGGACTTGGCTCTCCTGAATTCTCAATCCAATAAATCACAGAAGGGGTTGGGTTGGAAGGGACCTTAAAGATCGTGCCAAATATTCAGAAAAAAAAACAGGTAAGGGATGACTTCCTTGTAGTCTTTGTCTGTACAGAAAGATCTTTAAATAAATAAACACAGGGAATAAAAATATGCCTGTTGTCTTTGGTTTTCTGCTTTGCTTGTTTTAAAAGTGGGAGGTTGAGGGGCTGGAGTGTGTCCAGGGAAGGGAAGGGAGCTGGGGAAGGGGCTGAAGCACCAGGAGGAGCTGAGGGAGATGTGGGGGCTCCCTCAGCATTCCAACCCCTGACACCTTCCACTAGCCCAGGTTGCTCCAAGCCTGTCCAACCTGGCCTTGGACACTTCCAGGGATCCAGGGGCAGCCACAGCTTCTCTGGGAATTCCAGCCCAGTCCCTCCCCACCCTCCCAGACAAGAATTCCTTCCCAATATCCCATCCCAGGGCCTGGTTGTCTCTGTGCAATGTAAAAAAACAAGTGGCCAAC